TGCAAATACTAAGCAGGCACAGCACGAATCAATAATTAACAAAGCAGATGCACAAGCTTGATGAGGATGAATAATTATATAGCTGGGAACAGTGAATGGAGCTGGTAACAGTGCTAGTTTTATAAGAAATTGGACAGACTCTTTGTATTCATGCATTTGTTTGCAAGAGTGCTTGAATAATACATGTGAAATATATTTTTTAAAAGTTTCAATTATACTGATATATACCTTTCTAAGGTACGTATCACCAAAGATACTTAGAAATCAAAATGATCCAGAAGAAAATATTGGTAGAGTAAGCATAAAATGATTATAAAGTATGAAATAATATTCTAAGTGGGCTAAATACAGCAACATCAAATTTGTTTATTTTTGGAATTCTTAAGTATAATAAAAATTGAAGATGTAGGTATACATCACTGTCTAACTTTATGTGTGTGTGTGTGTGTATATATATATACATAAACATATAAAATCTGTACTAGTCCATATATTCCTTGAAGATAGGCATCATGTCTCTCAATGTACTCTACAAACAGGCATCATGTCTCTCAATGTACTCTACAAACACTGAGCTCAGTATCTTGTATGTAAATACCCATGGAATGAAGAAAATACACATCTTAGTTACTTTAAAAGATAATGAAAACAGGGCTGGGTATGTATCTCAGTTATAGAACATTTGCCTGGTATGTGCAAGGCCCTAGGTGGATCCCTAGCACTGATAAAAAGGCTAGTAAAATATAATTAAAATTGCCAGGTGCAATTGCAGTGGTGCCTGCCTGTAATCCCAGCAGCTCAGGAGGCTGAGACAGGAGAATCACGGGTTCAAAGCCAGCCTCAGCAATTTAGCAAGACATTAAGCAACTCAGTGAAACCCTGTCTCTAAATAAAATACAAAATATGGTAGGGGATGTGGCTCAGTGGTTGAGTGCCCCTGAGTTCAATTTCCATCATTCATATATATATTTATTTATTTATATATTTGACAGTATGACAATCATATTTGTCAATTTGACAATCATATTTTCAAATATATACATATATGTGTGTGTGTGTGTATATATATATATATATATATATATATATATATATATATTTGACAATATGATTAGGCACTTTGGTAAAAGCATACAGAGTGAACTCTCTGCACATACCACTGACTTGGTAAAATCCTTTAGGAGGCTCTTTTTGAGAAATTGTTCTTAAACTTCAGTGATTTTTTTTCTTTTAAAAATATATTGGTAGTTCATTATGTAAATAATTTATAGGAGAGGAATTGTACAGTTCTATCAAAAATGCCCAAAGGACATTTGACAATATTCACAAAGGATTAAATGTACTTTCCCAAACTTTATCAAGTTTTTAATCAAGACTACTTACAAAAAACCAAACAGCATATTAAAGGGTAGATCCTATGAATGTCATTTTAATTAAGTCTGAATTAAAGATCTGAAGCAAAGGTAAGGCACACTTTGTATCATCATCCAACACTGAAATATTTGCTAAGTGAAAAAAGAGCCCCCAAACTGAATAATTTATGTAAATGTTAGAAATTAAAATAGTATAGAAAGTTCATGAGACCCTACTTAAACTGTTTAATAAGAATTTGATCATGTGGCTATATCTGATGGATGTAAAAATCAGTAACTTTTCTCTGTATAATCAGAAGTACAAACATTCTTATAAATCTTTTTTTATATATGTTTTCTTTTGCGGGGGTGGGGTACCAGGGATTGAACTCAGAGGCATTAGACCACTGAGCCACATGTCCAGCCCTATTTTGTATTATTTAGCGACAGGGTCTCACTGAGTTGCTTAGTGCATCACCATTGCTGAAGCTAGCTTTGAACTCGAGATCCTCCTGTCTCAGCCTCCGGTGTCAGTGGGATTACAGGTATGTGCCACCACACCTGGCCATTCTTATAAACTTTTAACTGACAATAATAATGAAGTTATAAAAGACCAAGAAAAATATTTAACAGGAAACAACAAAGGCAAAAAAAAAACTTCAGTGATTTTTAAAAGCTAGAAATATGAAAGATAATAGAGATATTTATAACAAATTTAGAAAAACAAGTTTTAGTGTTTTAAGCGTATAAGGAAGCTGGCAGCACTGTTCATTTACAACCCTTTGCCTAAGGCTGTATGTTGCAAGAATAACAGTCCATGTAAATGCTAAGGATTCATTGCTTGTTACTAAAGTAAGTGCTTTACCTCAAAGCAGACTTTTTTCATCTACAGGAATGTTTGATATCACTCTTATTTTGTTTGAGTTTTCATTGACAATGCATACACTTTCTATTGTCCACTTATTCATTGATTCACAAATATTTGACTATCTACTATGTGCCAGGCAGGGAATACAGCGCTGAACAAACAAAAATCACTGCACTTCTGCATGAGGTCCTGAGTTCAGTCCCCAGCATACAAAATCTATCAATTAGTTTATGGCCATACCACCCTGAACTTGCTTGATCTCATCTGACTTCAGAAGCTAAGAAGGGTCAGGCCTGATTAGTACTAGAATGGGAGACCAAAAATCTATCAATCAATCATTGAACTTGTGATAATTTTATTCTAGGAATGGATATGGATGATAATCAAGATATACCAGTAAAAGATACAATAAATTAGATAATGTTAAGCAAGTGCCAAAGAAAAAATAAAGCAGAAAAAGGTAATACAAAATATAAGAAAGATGTTGAATTGTAAATAGAGTGTCCAGAAAAGTCCTCACAGAATGATGATATTTGGATTAAGTTCTGAAGGAAGTGTGGGAGCTAGTCCTGTAGATAGCTGTGGGAAGAGCATCCCAGGCAGGAAAAATCCCATGTTACAAAACCTCCAAGTGAAACAGTGCCTGATATAGTTGAGGAGTATGAACGAGAGGGCTGGGAAGAGTACTGGAGGTGGAGATCAAAGAGATGACTGGAGGCTAGGTCACAAAGGACTTCAAAGACTTTGAAGGGTTTTGAGCAGAGGAGTGACAGAATCTTACTTTTGACCAAAGCCCCTCTGGTCACTGGGGTTTGAGAATATAGAGTTAAAAAGGGTAAGGTGGGATAGGGAGATCATCTCAGAAGTTCTAACTAGAATCCAGGTCAGAGATGCTCCTGGTTTGAAGCAGAGTGGTAGCAAGTAGATGGATTCTGGATGTATTCTGGATATAAAATTCATGTTTTTGTCCCTGACAGAATAGGATTTGAGGTTATCCCATATTTGTGATACAATTAAATTTTCACTATTCTTTCCTAAGTAATGAAAAAAAACTCTCACAAATTCTGTAATTCTGAGAGTATCTCACTCCTGATACTGAAATTCCTTTTGTTCCTGAGTTTGAAACACCTCAATTATTTTCAAATCCTACCTTAATCTTGAGGAAAGGCAAAGAAAAACTGTGGTTCTCTGAATATCAACTACCAGCACTATCTTCTTAGCTCCTCATGACTGTAAGCTTGGCCAGGCTTTTCATTTCCCTTGATGTTCCTCAAAACCTGGCACAGAATCCTGCACACATTAGTCTCTCAAAAAATGTTCATTGAATGGTACAGTCTTCATATTTTGTACAACTACTATAAAAGACTTTCTACCAGGCATGGTGGCGCATGCCTGCAATCCCTCTTGACTAACTCAGGAGGTTAGTCAAATTCCAGGTCAGCCTACTAAACTGAGTGAGATACTGTCTCAAAATAAAAATTTAAAAGGCTGAAGATGTAGTTCAGTGGTAGAACACCAATAAGTCCAATTCCTGGTACCACAAGAAAAGAAGATTAAAATTTCACATTCCTTAAGGTTAAAATGAATGCAGTCCTCTTATCCACTGTTTTACTTTCCACAGTTTGAGTTTCCTGTGGTCTACTGAAATCTGAAAACATTAAATGGAAAATTCCAGAAATTAATTCATGTTTTAAATCATATGAAACATTCCTTTATCCAGCAGATCCATGCTGAATACACTACCCACCCATTGGTAGCTGTTTTGGTTATCAGATCACCTTCTTGGTATTGCAGTGCTTGTGTTCATGTAACCCTTATTTAACTTATTTAAATAGTGATGTTTGCAATTTTGTTACATTGTTCTAATTGTTCTATTAAATTACTAGTTCTTGATATTAATCTCTTACTTGCTCAATTTGTAAACTGCATCCCATATGTATGTTGTGTGTGTGTGTGTGTGTGTGTGTACAGGAAAAGAACAGTATATAGTTTGGTGTTATCCATGGTTTCAGGTAACCAACCACTGGGGGTCTGGGAAAGTATCCCCTGTAGGTAAGAAAGGCCATTGTAATAAACTGAAGAGTAACATCCAGTCCCATCAATTGCACAATCACAAGTTAAAATTGGTATTGAGGACAAGTATGCTGGAGTACTGTGAACTGGATGTTTTTGAACCTCTTGCATCTTCATTCTTACCAGTTGTTTCAGTTTTCTCACGCCATGTAAATTAACTTGAAGGGCAGAGGAGATTGAATTTGCAATTCACAGGGCTGATATCAGCTACCGTTATCTAGGAGTCATCACGGAGTTAAGCTTCCTTGAACTGCGAACTTCCTTGGGGAACAATCCGTCAAAATGCTTGCATCCTATTGGCCAGAGACTCGGTCGCAGGCATCGCTCGTCACCCCTCGCGACGCGGGCCTGCGCTGTGCGCACCGGGAGTTGTAGTTGCCTTTTCTCTCACTCCCGGAGAGCCTGGCCTCTGTCTCACCAGCGCCCCAAGAGGCGCGCAGGCTCGGTGAAGCGCAGTATGCGCGGACCGCGGGGAACGTTTCCTAGCAACTGGGGGAGGTGCGACGTCATGGTGGCGGGTTCCGACAGCCGCTGCCACTGTAGAACCGCCGAGTGCACCTTCCAGTCCTTGCGGTCGGAGGTAGCGCTACTCGCTGCCCTGTGTCCGCACGTTTTCGTCTTCCCATACAGTCTTATCCCACTCCTGGTCGCTGAAAACAACCTCTTGCGCGCCTCCGCCGCTGAGGCCAGGACCGGTGGAGGTCCCCGGCCTCGGTGGGACGATGCTTGAGTCCATTCGCGTGACGGGTGAGTGCAGGGCAGCGCCAATCCTGGGTGCTGGCGCGGTGGGCCACTGCCGGTCCAGGCACCGAAGGCACGGCTTGTCGGGGTCCAGGCTGTCTGGGTGCGAGGTAACTGTAGGATGTGGGCTCGGCTCGCGGTGCAGCGACTGGAGCCCGCGCCCAGAACAGTGCGGACAGGAGGAGCTCGCTCTACACAAGTGGAGTGAAACCAGAAAACGGGCCCATTTCCTTTTGTCACTTATAATCAGTAAGCACAAACCGTGGAATCTAATGTAATAGACCAGTTACTTGTCCTACAGATGTACAGCCTAAGTATTGTTTAATCCTATTCCAAAGCATACTAATGTATAATTAGGCTTTATAATTTTCTAGAATGTTCAGAAAAATCAGAGCTAAGCAAAAGAATACATCGGTATATTTCAGAAGTATACTGGGTTTATTTTTGTTTATTTTTATTTTTTAAACGCTGAGAATGTTTTGAGTCCATATTATTAATAAGCATAAAGCTTGGTGTTTAGGTTCCAGGCCTAAAAGTTTACTTGCCATTGATTATTTTTAAATAGCTATACAGATTAGCCATTTTAACAGAGTTTCATAGCATTAAAATAATTTCTTAGGTCATTTCACTAGCATTTGATTCTGCAAGAAAACATTTCTGCAAGCAAGACAGGTCTCATGATGAATTACATAGTAAAGAGAAATACTTAATCCCCAAACTGGTATCAAAATAAGGCCAGAATTTTTAACTTTAAGGCATTGCAGTACCTAGTCATCTTTTTCTGTGAGTTTTTTAGTTGAAAAACTGAATTCCTTTCCAGTGAAAATATTTATGATCTTAATTTTATACTACTTAATTTAATATTCAGTGTTATAAAATATAGAGCTGATTTTGATGCAGTCATGATATTGCTGCAATTTATATCATTGTTATGTTGACAGGAAGCATAGACAGTTACAGGAGCTAAGATATGAGGCTACTGAAATTTGCATTAGATTTTTTTTTAAATGTGATTTGCTTTATTAAAACATAATGTAGAAAGTTACTTAAAAACCCCCTTCGTTTATGTTGTGGACCAAGGTTTTCAACCTCAGCACTATTGACATTGTACAAGAAAATTCTTTGTTGTAGAGGATTGTTCTCTCTCTCCTCCACAGGCATATAGAGTTGTAACAACCAAAAATGTGTCCGCATATTACCACATGTTCCCTGAGGGGCAAAATTGAGAACTACTGCCTTGGAGGAAAATATAGATTCTATCACAATGAAAGTTATTCAGATTAGAAACTACATTGATTAAAATCATTTTCTCCAAAGCATAACAATCATTATAGACAGAATATGATTAAAATAATATTAGTATTATTAAAGACAGTGGCACACTCTTATAATTCCAACCACCACCAAAAAAAAAAAAAAAAAGGATTTTAAAAAAAGGGCTGGGGATATTGCTTAGTGGTAAATAGCCTCTGGGTTCAATCTCTGGTACTATTAAAAAAAAAGAAGGAAAAAACCTAAAAGCCCAAGAATAAGCTGTTAATAGAAAAATAAAATTATTATTATTAGAAAATTGGTATTCTAATCTGGTCTGCAATGCAAAATGGATCTCCTGATACTTCAGTAAGTGAAGTTGGAAGTTTGAGGAGAGATCCTTTATAATATAGTAGAGCCACCCCTGTTAGCTTAATTCTCTGCACAATTTAAAAAGCAACTCTTGTGTGTTTCATACCCTGATATAGATAGTTTGGCAGGTAATTTCTATAGTATAATAAAACTTAAAACAGCCATTTGAGAATGTGCAAGCCTGAAATTTATAGTCCCTTTCAAATTAACACACCGAGTCATTTTTCAAACTAGTTTCTGCATTTCTTCTCTATAGTACTTGACTAATTAAAATGATTCTAGAGCACTGCACTCAGCATTTCATTGAAATGGAAAACCTAATTTTAAAAAATCAGTCAGAAACTTCATGAAGATGTTTTAGCTTAGCAAAAAAAAAAAAAAAAATGCCCTCCTCTTCCCTATTCCCTTGCTACTCATTGATATCTCAGATGCCCATGTTCTTCTAGTTAGCAGAACTTGATCTATTGTGATTATGAATACTGGTGGAAATTTATTTCCTTTATTCAGCTTTAAAATAGCAATAACTGTAGAACAAACTGGTTGTTTTATATTTCAGGTCTGAAACAATTTAGTGTTTTAGAAATTACTTTCATTTAATGTCTTATCCACTTCTGACACAGTCATGATTTAATATAATCTAAATATAACATCTTGGTGGAACTGCATCTACAGGAATAAGACAAATAAGATGTATATACTATTTATGCTATTTGAAGATGGAATCAAGTCTGAAAGGGTCTCTTTGCGCTCTCATATCCATTTAATGAAGAGAATTTATTATACTAAAACCACTAAAATGTTGATTCTAAAATGTAAAATTAATTACTTTATAGTAATATTAAATTCACTTTGGAAATACAAATTTAATGAGTCCAAATATTTCCCCACTTAACTATTCCATGGAGTATTTCTATAGGAGCTGAAGATAATATTGAATATAATAACCATAATAATAGTGAACCAAGGCTGTTTCCTATAATCCAGCACTGTTCTCGCACTAAACATGTATTTTTTAAAGTCCTCACACCAATACTATGAAGTATGTATTACTAGCACAAATAAATTAAGTAACTTTGTCAAGGTCACAGCCCCTAATAAGCTGAGCCAAGATTTTAATCAGGCAAACTTCATTCCAAAGACCATATTCTGAACCACTAGGAAAATCAGCACACTGTTACAATGACTACACTGGTTTAAGCTACAAAATCCAGCATCAGAATCTCATTTTATCATCAGTGTTACATTATTTGTTAATTTACTCAAGGTGTTGAGTTCTATCACCAGCAAATATGTAAATTACAATATTTGCTTGGAAAACTATATAAGTATATACATATTATATTAAGTATATATATATATAAAGTATATATATATAAATATATACTTAAGTATATATTTATTGTTTTCAAAATGGAAGAGAAGGGCTGGAAGTGAAGCTAGTGGTAGAACATATGCTTGAGGCACTGGGTTTGATCCTAGCACATTTGATTTTGAACAAAACCAAAAACAAATCAAAATAGAAAAGAAGATATATAGCACAATCATTGAGTAACAAAATGCTGTCAAAAGCCATATAATACAAGATTATATTAATTTGTAATATTCAGCTGACCTTATTTTGTGTAATATGACAAGTGATTGACGAGTCATCTGGAAATGAAGCCCTTTTGTAACAAAGGTGATTGTTTAAAAATACTGGAGATAAAATTTTCTGTATTGGTATAGGGGATTGAGCTCAAGGATACTTTGCTACTGAGCTATATCCCCAGTCCTTTTTATTTTGATTTTGAGACGGGGTGTTACTAAGTTGCTTAGGGTCTCACTAAATTGCTGAAGCTGGCTTTGAACTTGCAATACTCCTGCCTTAGCCTCCCGAATCTCTGGGATCACAGGTATGTGCTACTGTACCTTGTGATAGAGGGCTTCTGAAGGCCAGTGTTTAACCATACAGGGTGAATACACCTAGGCATGTATCTTCTTTTTGTCCTACAATAGTCTCTACCCTCACCAATTGTTTCCCTTTCTTATACCTTTCTGGAATGATTTTTTTATTCTTCCATTTTCAGGCAACCAAATTTTCTACCTTTTCTTTCCTCTTAAGTGTTCTCTTCCCCTAGGCTACCTCTCTGGCCACTTTTTCATAAAAAGGGTAATGAGTAAGCAAAAACAAACACAAATGTATGCTGTAATAAGAGTTTAAAATTTTATTGTTGGGGGAGGCCCTCACGCAACAAATGCGAAAATGCAGTCGTGGCAATTACTTCAAGGGAGAGATAAAAGGTGCTATGAAAATCTGAAATGAAAAAGTCAAAGACTTCATGACCCAGTGCTATTTAAACTAAAGAGCTACTGTATCTATAGAGAGGATGGTAAGATGAGAGATTGACAATGTGAGAGGGGGCTGGAATGTAGAGGTTAAGGAGGGATGTTATGTGAGATGAGACTGCAGAGGGATCTAGTGGCCTCATAGACCATAGGAGTTTTATCTTCATCCCAGATAGAAAGTCATGGGAGAGTTTGCTTCTAGCACAGAGGATGTACAATGCTTGTTCTTAACCTGGTCATCAAGGTATGAAATACTGTATTTATAGAATTTACAATATTTCTAACTGTAAATACATAACACTATAATTTTCGACCCCAAAACAACAGTGTCACATTGTAAGATTGTTAGTAATAGAATAACACTGAAGTGCTGCTTCTGTGGAATTTTTAGGAATCTGAGATACAGTAAAGTTTCTGAATTCCTGAGTGATATTAGCAGTGTATTTCTTCTATTTTTCCTTAGTAGCTGACTGGGTGCTATTGAATTATAGAAGTATTAAAGTCAATAGATTATCTGCTATAATATAGGCAAGTTGAACAATAAATATGTTTTTAAAGGTACTGATTTTTAAAATATGTTTTAAAAAACATAGGGCTGGGGATGTAGCTTAGTAGAGAACTTGCCTTGCATGCACGAGGCCCTTGGTTTGATCCCCAGCACACACACACACAAAAAGGTGTAATTTATATATGCTAAATTTCACAAGTTTTAAATGTGCAGTCTAATGAATTTGTAGATGTGTAACCATTGTCCAGAACAAGATGTAGAACCTTTCCAGCACCCAGTAGGCTCCTCCGTACCTCCTCCCAGTACCCCACCCTCAAAAAGTAACCACTATTCTGACTTCTAATATCACAAGTTAGTTCTGCTGTTTCTAAACTACATATAAATGAAATTGTACATTGGCATGGCTATCTTTACCCAATCTTATCTGAGATTCACCCACTTTGCTGCTTGCTTGCAACAACACATATTTTATTACTATGTAATATTCTGTTGTATGCATGTATCACAAGTTATTCATTCTTTCTACTATTTTGGGTTTTTTTTGGGTTTT